AGACTAAAACTATCACACAATTATGTAAGAGTTTGTGTATACGTATGTGCGTGCTGTAAAGAAGTCCAACCCAGCTAGCATTTTTGGTGCGTTACCAAGCATATGCATCAAATCGCCTCTTAGATTAACTCGTCTAAAGAGACTCAAATTCTTTTGTAAGATGTATTAATGGTCTTGAGATTAATTTTGCTTATATCTATTCTGGAAACGGCATCTTTCCCAAAAGAGATTGACCGATAATGGCATACTTATCCTTCTATATTTAGGGCGCTGACTTTACGACAGGGCGGTCACATCCACAGAAAAAGATTTCATTTCTGCATTTTGAGTTTGAGTTAGAAGCACCCACAAACAACGCAGAATTCTGGCTTCCTATGGGGTCTTGTCTAATAAAGTAGAACGAAAGCATATGACATGGTTATAATTCTCATCTGGTGGGAATACTCAAATAATGCGTCTTCAATGAGAGCTTAGTCACCTTAAGTGGTGTTGCACCGATATTAAGTGTTTATTGGCAGGGATCTGGCTTGCCTTGAAGGCTACATCTGCTTGTGACCCACTGAAATACATGGCTGTATAGTGGAGTGGGGTAATAACGCCCCCAGGAAACTCACGATATGGTGTCGAATACTGCTGGGGTGATGATGGGACCTAGCCAAGGTCGAGACTGCGTTCCACTCTGGATGAGATAGTCTTTTATAAGGCAGGGCCAACTGGAACTCAATGTCAGAGTGAGGCCACTCGTGTGATTTTGGGGAAAGTCAAAAATCAGTTTTTAAAAGTTGGTTGACCTCGTTATCGCAACTTGGTCTTGTTGTCAAGGTGACTTAGTAGAACGTACCTTGTGCGAAGTCCTCTGCCATAGTAGTTATCATAAATCCCAGCATCAAAGAGTTGACTTGGTACATTCTCAGACGTTTCGCCGGCATCGTATTCCGCATCATCAGTGTTGTCGTTCTCTGCACCAAGCTACGAACTCGTCAAGGAGACAAGGGAAGTCAATCCCTCAACCAACGTTCTGCCGAAAACGGTTACATTATCACTTTTCTTTCTGCCCTGGCCCATCTATCTACTCTTTTCCCTCTTATCCAACTTCCATCCTATCACAACTTCTACTCGTCAAAATTTGTGCTCTTTTGTGGCAAATCTAGTATGGCCTCATCACACCTGCTATTCACCTCGACTCCTCACTTTCAATCGACTAATCCGACTCGGGCATCCAATCTGGATCTCCCTCAAGCTCCCGTAGATCCCTTCCTTATCTTTCTGGTTGACCGATTTCACTCGGTTCCAGTCCCAGTGTGCATTTCACTCTAGACGCTATTTCTCAAGGCTCCAGAAGCATGTACACTGCCGCTTCACCGAGCATAGCGCCTAGGCTCTGATTGTCATGCTTGCAGATATCAAGCATTACCTTCGTGGTTCATTTCCTTGAGAAGCCCATATTACCTGGGAAAAATGTGGACGTCTATCTCTGGTCGCATGGGCATCTCAAGTGGATTTCTGGTACATTTTGGCAATAATGCTGAATAGTGAGTAGCAGGTGTGATGAGGCCACACTAGATTTGCTACAAAAGGGCACACATTTTTACGAGTGGAATTTCAGAATTTGTGATAGGGCGAGACTTGAATAAGAGAATGAAGAGTTGCTAGATGGGCCAGGACAGAAAGAGGAATGATAGTGTAACCGTTTTGGGTAGAACGTTGGTCGAGGGATTGACTCCACTTCTCTCTTAGACAAGTTCGTAGCTTGGTGGGGAGAATGACAGAACTCACTGATAATGCCGACTACGATGCAGACGAAACGTCTGAGAACGTACCAGGTCCATAGTCTGATGCTGGGAATTATTATAACTACTAAGGCGGAGGACTTCGGACAAGGTGAGTTCTACTAAGTCTCCCTGGTAACAAGACCAAGTTGCGACGAGGTCAACGGACTTCTATAAATCGAAAGGAGACTGCGACCATACCGGAGGCACACCATCTTGGTCTTCATATTAATTCATAAATTTGCTTAAGCGACCTAGGCTGATTATGTTCTTATTCAAGGATTGCTGATAGCCTCGATAATTCAACCTATCAAAAATTACACTCATAACTCCTCTTAAGCAACCTAATCTGACTGAGTTCTCATTCAATAATTACTTATAGTTCTAAATACTTGTTCTAAAATCACTTTAAGCGGCCTAGGTGGATAAAGTTCTTATTTGTCGTTTGTGACTAGTCTTTCGAAACTATCAGTAAATTAGATGCATGAGGTGCGATGAAGGTCTGGTGGGTGAAATTCCCTAGAACTACTAGTCTCTCATCATCTTAAAACGAAATAGGGTGAGTCTATCTCATATACTTGTGGTCTATAAAGCCTACTTACAAACGACAAATAAGTAATGTGGTTGATTGTTATAGCAATCAAAACTCCCAACACAGAATGTGATATGTGAAAATGCCTGGCCTTCAGTGAAATGCACATCCGTCCAGTGGCCCAAGGGCACTCGCGGCAATGTGGCATAATAGTTACCGTATCGAGATTAGGCGCTGCACAGTCATGGCTTGGGTCCCGCCGGGGGTGCTGAAGTTCTTAGTCAAGAACTAGTCATAGTTTGGAAAACAACTCATATAAAATATAACGGTTGTTAAATTACTTTTGGTGACCTAAACTGAATAAATTTAGTGTTCTTTTAACCTCGTTTTTGCAACTTGGTCGGAGCGACGGGGTGACCTTGTGGAGCGTACCAAGTCCTGTGTCCTCTGCCATAGCATTCGCGATTGCCAGCATCGGACCATTGACTTGGTACATTCACAAACGTTTTCACTGGCCTCGTAGTCGGCATCGTTAGTACACAGCTACAACTTAACAGTGACGTATCAAAATCGCAACTCTATCCTAACGATGGCGCTTCTCACTGACTACGCTGACTGCGAGTCCTGCGAAACGTTTGGGAATGTACCAAGTCAGGGGTTCGATGCTGGAAATCATCATAAACACTATGACAGATGACGCAGGACTAGATACAATCCATAAGGTCACTCTGTAGCTCCAGCCAAGTCGCGAAAATGAGTTTCAACTAACACTATCAGACTGAAGGAGACTGCAACTTAACAGAAGGCCACACCATCTTTGCCTTCATATCTACAATCTGGGTAAGTTTACATTTAGGCATTATTTATTGTCTCGTAAACTAATCGTATCCAAAATAGCAACTCTCAAATCACCCTAAGTAACCTAGGCTTAAAATGTTCCCAATCAGGTTAAACATAAAATATATGAAGGCGTTTGGCATATTTCGCTTAAGGTGATCAGGGACTGCTAGATGAATTTTCACATGTTGGTATGAGCTCACGCTTCCATTGAATTTCACATAGCTTTGCTTTCCCAAAAGGTGTTATCCTCCAGAGAGAAGGGGAGCGCAGTTTAGACTTTGTCTAGGCCTTATGAACAACCCCAGCGGGAGTCGAACCATGACAGTGCAATGTGTAAGCTCGACACGTTATCCACTACGCCACGTTGCCACGAGTGCCATTTGGTCACAGGGCAGATGTGCATTTAAAGAAAGGTCAAGCATTTTCCTAAATCACATTATCTGCTGGTAGTCTCGAGAACCTGCTCAAAAACGAAGAAAACGTATAGTGTAGAAAACTAATTATACCGAAAATAACAGCTGTTGGGTCATTGTAAGCGAGATGGTCCAACTAATTCCTTGCTCACGAACGACTGATAATCTAAAAAGGTATCAAGGGCAAAAATGTAAACGGGACTGTCAGTGCAACCGGTCGTGCGGATCTTGATATCTGTTTACTGGTTGATCCTGGCTGGCGCTTACTTTGTCCATGATCAGAAAGACCGGAGGCTGTGAAGTCGCCCATCCTGTGCTCGTCGATGAAGCTGGTGGACAACTTGGGAGAACAAGAACCAAATGAGCCACCGCTGCTCCCGATCGCCCTCAGTCCCATGTACATCGACTGTACATTTGCCGACGTCGGACAGGCCGATTTGACCAGTCCCGGTTGATCACTCCGTTGCCCTGGGAGAATTGGAGTCTGAGCCGAGGTTGACTGCTGTTGCTGGGCGTAGTGTCCAGTGAGTCGATCATGACTGTCCTCCGACTTGACGGCCACATAAATTGGCGACACGTACTGCAGGGAGCCGGATGCGCTGTAGCCGGCCGGATGAGTCTGCGAAGTGTTGAAAGGGTAGAAAGGCGAGCTGGCCTGATCCGCCCCCAGCGGGCCGGACTGAAGAGTGCCTCTGTAGACGGTGGCCAGGCCCGGCGTGGCCATGGGCGAGCTCTGGCGACTGCGCGTCTGTCCTGCTGGTCCCATGTGCAGAGAGCCAGAGAAGATGGGCCCATAGTGCCCGTTGCCAGAGCGCGTCTGTCCGAGGGCCGAGGAGGAGGAGGATGCGGACCTGGCGCCGAGTGGGCCGGAGACGTCGTCGGAGACGCCGTTGAGGCTGATCAAGGGACGATGGAGGCCGTCGAAAGCGCCGCCAGAAGCGGACAACTCGAGCGGACCGAGAGCGTGACGAAGGCTAGCGACCGGAGCATACATCGGACCGGTCTGCGAGAGGCCCGGATGCAATTGCATCAGCTGCAAGTGGGGCCCCTCGGCGCCGAGGGACGCGACCACATGCAGCCGGCCGGCCGAAGATGAGGCCGAAGGGGAATGTGTCTGCCCGAGGCCTGACGAGGCGGTCTGCAGGGCTCCCGTGACCGCGGAGTTCAGACCGTCGGTCTCCAGGCCACCGGCCAGTGAGCACTGGGCAACGGGCCCCCCGCTTAGCGGACCAGTGAGTGTGGGCGACAGCGAGATGGGCATTGTGAGCGGAGAACTCCGAGACAAGTGGAGTCCGGCCGCGGCAGCCGGATACAAATCGAAGCCAGAAGAGCCCGGCGAGAACTGGAAGACGAGCATAAAGAAGAGAGATAGCCCAATTAGTACAGAACAGCAATAGCTGTCCAACACAAGTCCAGTTGGGAAAGGTGGCACTAGAAGAAATTGAAGAAGATTTCTTCAAGGTCGGTCTGAAGAAGCTAGCGAAGAAGACCACTCGTAAATAGCCGATTAGTGGAAATTGTATCGGCATTGTAGAAAAACTGGTTTTAGATAACTCCCTTAATAAATTCATGTTGGAGTACCTTTAATTTCGTTTGGAGAGGCGAGTGGAGGGGTTCGTAAGTTGGTCTTATGCGAAGCTGTAAGGGATTGCTTTGAAGTTGTGATTGCAGATTCATGCAGTGAAACAAAACGAACTAAAAGATATTCCAACATTAAAAATAGGCCACTGTTCATTATAAAGGAGTTTTTTCACGACCATCCCTCGAACTTGATCGAGAAATTTGATAAAAACGTAGATTAACGAGAGGCAAAGATTGATATTTACTTTTTCCTACATTTAAATGTGCAAGCTTCAGGAAGCTATTGAATTCCACAGAACATGGCCTCTTGAAAGTTACAGTCTTCATCTCTCCTCGCCATCGCATCAGCATCCCAGTCGGATTCTCTACAGGACCGTGAGCAGCGTAGCGACTTTGCCCCTCAACTTCACTCCACGTCCACGGTAGCCAGTAAGTCACAGGACAGATGTGACCTTTAAGGCAGTTTAAGTCTCGATTACCTCACATTTTATGGGAGGATCGCTGATGAAACAAACAGGTTTATCAGTCCAATCGGCCGAAAGTCGTCGTAGTTTAAACGAAGACCAAGATGTTGTTGTCTCTATTTTCTTCGCAGCCTACTTTTAATGTACAGATGCGGTCTAACTTCGTTTTCACAATTTGGTCGTGTTGTCAGGGCGACTTATTTTGACCGCTGCTACAGTAATTATCATATTTCCAAGCGTCTACGATGCCGGCGAAACGCCTGAGAATGTACAAAGCCCACGATCCGACGCTTGGAAATATGATGGCTAGAATAGCAGAAGACTTCGGATAAGGTGAATCCAACCAAGTTGCATTGACAACACAACCAAGTGGTGAAAACGAGGTCAGACCACATCTAAAAGTAGTTTTATTCAAATTAAGTAACGCTGTTGAGTATGATGACAAACATATGTTTGTTCAGTCGACAATCCTACTATAAATGTGGATTGCCTTGAATGTTACATCTGTCCTGTGACCAATTGGCATCCGTGGGCGTGTAATTGTGTGGCAAATGCCGCCACGATACTTAATTCACCTTAAGCTACCTGGGGTGACTTAATTTTGATGTCAAGAAAAGTCGGGTTTCGAGGAATCTCTTGTTGCATAATTGTTGAGCTTACTTCCAGTTCGAATGCATGTGCTTGGTAAATAGATTCGAGGGTCAGCGGCGAGTCCATCTTCAACAGCTGTCGATTGGCCTTAGTGGAACATTCTTGTTGGCGCTATTACCGATTCCGGTAAAAGCATGTTAAGCTTTCGTTCGTCGTATGACAGATATCCTCAGAGTAGGTTATCATCCTTACAACCAAATTCAAGCTGACGAGTTAAGCAAATTTATCGGCTCATCCCTAGGATGCTGTAGGATGGCTGTATATATACTTTATGCCTCAGC